ACGATTTTCGAGAAGAACCGGGCGAGTCCGGTTCGACTCGGCGTTTTTTAAAACACTGCTCCAAACAATCAAAAGTAAAGTACACCTTCAAATAGTTTCGAGAGATATGATTTTAATATTGTGATAGTTTTAAAATATATTTTATTATTTAATTATAAAATTTAAAACTTAAAAAATATTGTAGATTAAGCAAATCTATGAAAACTTGAAAATTGTCGGTCAAAAAATATGTTACAATACGCACTATTTTCAAAACTTGAAATCCATTTTTTCTCATGTCCATGCATCTTGATGTCGAGATGATCAATTTGAGGATATTTCAGAATCGAAATAACCTCTTCTAATGAATTTTTTAAGGCGATCTAATATGATTGTTTAGAGCCTCGACTCTATATAAACTTTTTTCATAAATAAAAAGATGGGTGAAATAGTGCTTTGGCTTTTGCAGTTGAAACTTTGGAAGTCTTAACATCTTTGCCCCCCAACTTGGACAATACTTTGGTCTTTTAAAAGGCAGAGTACATTGGACAATCATGAAAAGCCACGCCAGTTGCATGATTAAAAAATTGCAACCTTTGTCATCTTGATCTCGAAAATTAAGATCAGTAAACAATTAAACTATGTAGCAATATATTTGATAAAAATCGGAATTAATATATTTGATAAAATCCTCTGCATATGACATTGGTAAATCATGCAGAGTTGGCTGCACTACTACAACGTCTAAAGCTTTTTAAATCCCACATGATTGGGGATCTTTGTTTGATAGAAGGGGCTTTGATGAATATGATTAAATAGTGTAAGAAGGAGTAAATAATTATTTGGGAACTAAGGTCTATGGGGGGGCAAATCTAAGATTTGACTAATTCATTGAGACTATCTTTCCATCATGTACAAAGAGGCTAACTCTTGGGCTGACTCCCTTGCGAAAAAGGGTGTCAATTTATCTTCTCTTTTGATTTTAGATGATGTAAGTCTTTTGTAATTTCCTTTTAGAATAATAAAGCTTTAATTTTTGTAAAATATATATATATTAAAAAAAAGTTAAGAGTGGCTCCAATACACAATAAAATAAAGTAAATTAGACTTAGGTAGTATAGTCATGTTCAGCCTCTACCTAAAACAACACCGACTAATAATGTAGAAAAGTAATAAAAATAACAACTTTATTGAAGTTGGTAGAAAGATAATATATATATATATATATAGGAAGATGCTAAGGTGAGCTAGTCACAGGAAAAAATGAGTCCAGCGGGTCAGATTGATTTGGCAATCACAGATGTCCGGTAGTATTTGAATTTTAATTGTTTTTCTACAAATCCAAATCACTTGAAATTTGGAGTGTGTGTACATAAAAAATAGGTAAATCTTAAAAAATTATATAAAAAAATATTTTACATAAAATAATTGACCAAAATACTCTTGAAAAGTTTTAGAGGTATTTTGATCGACTTTTTTATATTTTTATTAGGTGCGGCTTGATGAAAATAACACACGCTTAAAATTTCAAGTAATTTGAATTTGTAGAAATGAATTAAAATTCAAACACTACCAGACATCAGTATACTGTTATAGAAAATAAATAATATTATTAAATATATTTAAAATAAAATAAAAGAGATGGCTCATAAATTAAATAGTAGTCATGAGCCATTTGTGGCCATACTCTAACAATGAGGGACAATTTGGCTCAAACATAGAGCTCTAAAGGGGCTAGGAGAAGGTATGGAATAATATAGGTGGAAGACGTATAGTATGGATGAAAGTTTGACTTTTAATAAAGTAGAATAACAGAACAAGATTTATGTAACCGACTCCAAATAGGTGTGATAAGTTTGACGACGATAATATAATAATATGGTTCATAAACCCTACATTTCAAGTACCTATGGATTTGCCAAATTTGTACTTCGAAAACTTCAAGTTCCATATTGAGTTGTGAGGAGTGAACAAAAATAGTTAACATCTACCTGCGCACCTCAGCCTGACTTGACCCTATTAGCATGGCTTAGGCCAAACTGGAGCTAGCAATAGGTAGTTTCTTTAAGGCCAGCACTATATGAAAACAAAGTAAAGCTTCCCTTAGAATCTTTGTTTGGAAAATGTTTTATGCATCGAAAATCTTATGATGGCTTTAAGATAAATTCTCATTTTTCAATATTGAAAATGAAAGAGCTTGCAGATATGTAAATATTTGGTTTTAGGACGAAATTGACTATCCAAACAACATGTTGCAATATATATTATTTTTAGAACTTGAAATCTTAATTATTTCACAAATATAATAGCCAAAGTGGTGATGATTGTTCAACATCAAAATTGCCATCTTTAGTGAGTTTGTTAGGTGAGGCGTTACTTACTGCAGCTCCCCTAAACCATTTTCCAAACTAGATTTTACCTCTACTTCATATGCCAAATCTGCAGTTTTTCTTCGACGTTCAGATGTGTGGCTTTACTTTTGTTGTGAGGCAGCCACCTCATGCGAATTGCATTTCAAAAGCACTAACATTAAAGCTTTTTTCCAACTAATTGAGGCTGGCTACACAAATTTTGATCCACCATTATGCTTTATCAAGGGCCAATACCCTCGAAGAGGTTACAAATTCCTATATTTGATCACTACTAACAATAGTGTCATTTTAGCTTTACTTATGGTCTCTTTTAAGTCTTTCACTTGAACTAACTTATACCTCTTAATATGCTATGGATTGTGTTTGCTCTACGCATGGTTAGGGGTGGCGATGGGTTAGATCCGGACTTAAAAAAATATTATGGGACCCTGGACATAGACTTAGACCCAGACCAAACCCAAAAATTAAAATATTTATATATAAGTATATTTTAATATATTTCTTAATCTAGGACTTAAAAATATAACGTGGGACTCAAACCCAGATCCAAGACTCGAATATTGTTTGGGTCCAAGATTTGGACCTAGACCCAACCCGCTGGGTCCAAATTTTTATGTCATGCCCAAACCCTAGTCAGATCTGCTCGGGTCTTAGGTCACGTTTGGGTTTGTGCCAAACACTTAAGTATATTTATTCTCATTTTATTACATCTTGGACCTCTAAAAACATAAATCAAGAGTTTTTTTTACTAGGGATATTTTTTAGTTATTGGGAGGGGTATGACGTGATCTACAGTGTAACATTACCTAAAATGTCACTAGTGTACTGTCTGGGGGTTATGTCATATTTGATGTGTACTTATTATAATTACTAAAAATATTATTATTAAAAAAATTTAATGCAAAAATTAAAAGTAAAAATATCCAAATTTATTGAGAGAAATGAGAGATTACTCCGTTATGAGGTAACCCTTTTAAGCA